AAATCAAAAAATTAGCCAGGTGTGGTGGTGCACACCTGTGGTTCCAGCTACTTGGAAGGCAGAGGTGGAAGGATCACCTGAGCCCAGCAGGTCTAGGCTGCAGTGGCCATGAGCATGACACTGCACTCCAGCCTGGGCGACAGAGTAAGACTCTGACTCAAAAATATATATATAAATAAATTTAAAAAGAAAAAATGAGATGGGATTCACTGGTTCGAGACAGGGGAAAGCAAAGAGGGGGGAATGAAGAGTTTGGAGGGCAACTACAGGGCGGGGAAGGCCTGGTTTGAAGAGCCCCCACTGGAGCTCTCATGTGTGGAAGCTTCCACTATGTGTTGGGCACACGCCAAGTGGTCACAGTGATGACTTCGTTTCCTCTCTAAAACAATTCACTCATGTACCCCCTTTTTTTTTTTGAGTCTTGCTCTGTCACCCAGGCTGGAGTGCAGTGGCACGATCATGGCTCACAGAAACTCAACCTCCGCCTCAGCATCCCAAGTACCTGGGACCACACCTGGCTAATTTTTATATTTTTGTAGAGACAGAGACTCACTACATTGTCCAGGCTGGTCTCAAACTCCTGGACCCAAGCAATCCACCTGCCTCAGCCTCCCAAATTGCTGGAATTACAGGCATAAGCTCCACGCCCAACCTAATGTCCCCACCTGACAGATAAGGAAACTGAGGCTTCTCACCAAGGCCACCAAGCTAGGATGTGGGGAGGCTGGGCCCCAATCCAGAAGGAGGGTGGGGATGGCCTGGGCCTCTCGACTCCACCACTGGCCTGGCTGAGTCACCCCCACGGAACCCCTGCCCCTCTGGGACCCTCAGTTCCTTGCTCACAGGGGTGATCACCGCACCCTCCTTAAGGACTAGCTCGCTGCTGACAGGTTCTCCAACCCAGCTTTTCACTCCTAGGCGGGAATCCCAGAGATACCCTGGCTTAAAGACAGCAGGGAGTGGGGCAGAGCACACAGCAGGAAGCTGTTTAATAAATGATGAGCTACAAAGCAGGGGGAAACAACAGAGCAGGACACTGCATTTTTCATGAGGGCGAGCTTATGCCTAACATCTGGAAGGTTCCACTGCCTGTCCCCTTTATTTTGTACCTTGTCTCTTATTAGCATCTGACACACTATTTACTTATCGATGTTGCTTTTTGTCTATATCCCTCCCTAAACATCGGCTTCCCCAAAGGCGGGGATTTTTATTTTGGTCACTGCTGTAATGCAGTGCAACACAGTAGGCACTCAATAAATCCTGGCCGAAATGAATAAGGGAAGGCCAGATGGTTGAGAAAACAAAAAGCAGGTTGGAAGACGATGTTCGTTAATGGGGTGAATAAATTCACAAAACATGGCTTGATTCGCACATGTGGAAAAGTATAATTATGGATTTGAAGTCTTCTCAACAATAGAAGTGCGATTGTGTTAGGCCGGCACAGGGGTTCATGGTTCATGCCTGTAATCCCAACACTTTGGGAGGCTGAGGTGGGAGGATTGTCTGAACCCAGGAGTTTAAGACCAGCCTGGGCAACAAAGCAAGACCTCATCGCTAAAAAAAAAAACTTAAAAAAAAATTAGCCAGACAAGGTGGTATGTGCCTGTAGTCCCAGCTACTCAGAAGGCTGAGGCAGAAGGATCACCTAAACCCATGAGGTCAAGGCTGCAGTGAACTGTGATGGTGCCACTGCACTCTGGGTGACAGAGTGAGACCCTGACTCAAACAGTAAAAATAAAAATATAAAAGAAGCGAAATTGTAGAGGAAGAACATGACCATTTTCTTGATACTGTATCTATCATTCTTTTTTTTTTTTTGAGTTCGAGTCTCACTCTGTTGTGCAGACTGGAGTGCAGTGGCCACTCCCAGTCACCGCAGCCTCAACTGCTGGGCTCCGGCGATCCTTCAGCCTCGGCCTTCCAAGTAGCCAGAACTACAGGCGCGCGCTGCTGCGCCCAGCTAATCTTTGATTTATTGTAGAGATGAGGTCTCACCAAGTTGCCTGCGTGGGTCTCGAACCCGTGGGCTCAGGAAATCCACTCGCCTTGGCCTCTCAAAGTGCTGGTATTACAGGCTGAGCCACGGAGTCTGGCTGCTATCATTTTTTATTTGCTAATTTTTTAAAACATTTTTTACAGAAACCAGGTCTCACTATGTTACCCAGGCTGGTCTTGAATTCCTGGGCTCAAGTGATCATCTCGTCTTGACCTCCCAAAGTGCTGAGATTACAGATGTGAGCCCACACACAGCCTCTATCATTCTTTATAACAAAAAGTACTCATTCTATTAACATAGGTAAAAATAAAATTCTAATAAGGAAGCTGTCACCTAAATCCAGAATGTAAAAAAATCTATAGGATAAATGACTTGATTTTTTCCCCACAAATAAATAGCATTTTTTTTTTAAAAAGGGTGGCTGGGAATGGTGGCTCACGCCTGTAATCTCAGCACTTTGGGAGGCAGAGGCAAGAAGACTGCCTAAGTCCAGGGGCTTGAGGCCAGCCTGGGCAACTTGGTGAGACCTCATCTCTACAATAAATCAAAAAATTAGCCGGGTGTGGGGGCGCGTGCCTGTAGTTCCAGCTACTTGGGAGGCTGAGGCGGAAGGATTGCCTGAGCAAGGCTGCAGTGGCTGTGAGTGTGCCACTGCACCCCAGCCTGGGTGACAAAGTGAGATTCTGACTCAAAAAAGTAATAATAATAGTAATAATAAATAAAAGCCCCAGCGTGTACCTGCTCTCATTCTGTAGCACACTGTCACTAAAGCACAGAAGAGAAAACCCAGGCCAGATGAGTAGAGCAAGTTACCCGAGGGCAAGACTTGGTACAGAGGACCACGACCAGTTCCCCTTCCCTTGCCAAGCCCAGGATGCTTTCCTGCCGAATTAGGGGAGAGGAAAGGGTGATACGCAAGGCTGAGGGAAGCAGCAGGGAGAGGAGAGGTGAGAGCAGGGGGGGAAGGGGGAGGGGGGCTTACCATGATGGCGGGAACTGCCGGGCCTGCGGACACTTCTGTGCTCCTTTGCATCCCTTCCTGTGGATTCAAGACAAGGAGTCAGTGAGGATGTCAGCGAGAACATGAGAGGGGAATGTCCCAGGTTCCTGGGTCTGAGGGAAGATGGGATGAGGCTGGGGCCTGGACTCCAGGTTTGAGAGAGGAGGGGCTGGGGCTTGAACTCTGAGAGAGGAGGGGGCCGATGTAGGGTCTGCTGTGCCTAAGGAGGCTGGTCTGGGGTCTCACCCTGGCCTTCAGCAGCCGCTCCCTCTCCGCCACGGCCTGCTGCAGGAGCCGCTCCATGCGGGCGATGTCGGGGTGGACGGCTCCACAGCTAGGAGGGTGAACAGAGGCAGGTTACCGTGGTCGGCCTCTTCCCCCATCTCCCCACCTGCACCTTGACGTCTCACCTATTCCCAGGGCCACAGTTCAGCAGCTGATAGAGGGGGTGTCTTCCGGAGTCCCCCACTGTCGGCGGGAGAGCTGAGGCCTCCAGGGATCCTGGGGGAGGGGACACCAGTCAGAGGTCTGGGGTACTCCCCAGCCTGCAGGCATCTGCAGGCTGGGAACTGCTGGGGGAAGGCGGGCAGTGGCAGGGGTCCTCACCAGTACAATGCAGGGACAGAGGCCGGGGGGATCCTCTCTGGCTCGCCCGCTCTCCCCGCTTTCGGGGCAGGCTCCCGGTCCTCTGGAGGCCAATGGAGCCCTGAAAACACAAGACCCGTGCAGGAAAAATGCTTGATCTCAACCATGGTCAGAGTGGCACTGCTCAGCAAAACCACCACCCAACTGGCACAGACCATAGAGCTACTGTTGGCGAGATGCTGAGTGAAAGGAGCCAGTCGCCAGGGGTCACACAGGGTCAGACCCGTTTACACGAAATGTCCAGAATAGGCAAATTAACACAGAAATAGAAGTAGAATCCTGGTTGCCAGGGCTGCGGAAGATGGAGAAACTGAAAGGGGAAAGCCCAGGGGTATGGGGTTTCTATTTTGGGGTAATGAAAATGTTCTAAAATTCGTTGTGGTGATAGTTGTCCAACCCGAATATACTAAAAGACATAGAGGCTGGGCAGTGACTGACACCTGTAATCCCAGCACTTTGGGAGGCGGAGGCAGAAGGATCGCTTAAGCCCAGGAGTTCCAGACCAGCTTAGAAAACATAGCAAGACCTCGTCTCTACAGAAATCAAAAAATTAGCCAGGCATGGTGGCGCATGTCTGTAGTCCCAGCTATGGGGGAGGCTGAGGTGGAAGGATCACCTGAGCCCAGGATTGAGGGTGCAGTGAGCTGTGAGTGTGCCACTGCACTCCAGCCTGGGCAACAGAGTGAGACTCCAACTCAAAAATAAATATAGAAATAAATAAATAATAAGAGACATAGAACTGTGCACTTTAAATGAATGGATTGGGCCAGGCTTGGTGGCTCAGCCTGTAATCCCAGCACTCTGGGAGACCAAGGTGAGTGGATTGCCTGAACCTGTGGGTTGAAGACCAGCCCGGGCAACTTGGCGAGACCTCATCTAATAAAAATAAAAAACTAGCCAGGCGTGGTAGTGCATACCTGTAGTTCTGGCTATTTGGAAGGCAGAAGCAGAAGGATCGCCGGGGCCTAGCAAGTTGATACTGGGGAGGCATGAGCGTGCCACTGCACTCCAGCCTGGGTGACGTAGTGAGACTTCAACTCAAAAAGTAAATAAATGGATTGTATGAGATGTGGATTATATCTCAATACAACTCTTTTTTCTTTCTTTTTTTGAGTAGGAGTCACTCTGTCACCAAGGTTGCAGTGCAGCGAGGCACGCTCATGGCCACCCCAGCATCAACTTGCTAGACTCCAGTGATCCTTCTAGAGCACTTTGGAAGGTTGAGGTGGAAGGATTCCTTAAGGCAGACAGTTGGAAATATATATATATATTTCGTAGAACAGTTGACAAAATATTAATTAGACCTGCGGATTTTAACAGTATTATCTCAACGTTCTTTTCCTGAATTTGATCATTGAACTGTGGCCATCTTGACCTTAGGTAATAACTGTAGAAATATTTAGGGGTAAAGGGGAATTATGATTCATAAAAGAATAATGAAGTATGAGTGTATGTATACAGAGAGCAAGATAATTATAAGTATTAGCATCATTAATAAATAACGATAAAGCAAATGTTGAAAGTGGTAAAATATTAACAGTTACGGAATCTGGGTGATGGGTATATGGGAGTTCTTTCTTTCCTTCTTTCTTCCTTCCTTCCTTCTTTTCTTTTTTAGTAGAAGTCTCACTCTGTTGTCCAGGTTGGAGTGCACTGGCACACTCACAGCCAATACAGCCTCGACCTGCTGGGCTCAGGTGATCCTTCCACCTCAGCCTTCCAAGTATGGAACTATAGGCATGCACTACCATGCCTGGCTAATTTTTTGATTTATTGTGGAGACAAGGTCTCACCAAATTGCCCAGGCTGGTCTCAAACCCCTGAGCTCAGGCAGTCCTCTTGCCTCCACCTCCCAAAGTGCTGGGATTATAGGTGTGAGCTACCGCGCCTGGCTGGGAATTCTTTCTACTGTTCCCATACTTTTTCTGCAAGTCTGAATTTATTTCAGAATAAAAAGTGACCACGAAATGAAATAAATATATGTGAGAGTAATAAATAAAGGAAGAAAACCGAAATCAATTTTTTTTTTGAGTTGGAGTCTCACTCGGTCGCCCAGACTGGAGTGCAGTGGCCACTCCCGGCCACCGCAGCCTCGCCTGCTGGGCTCCTGAGATCCTTCCGCCTCAGCCTTCTGAGTAGCCGGAATTACAGGCATGCGCTACCACGCCCGGCTGATGTTTTGATGTATGGTAGAGATGAGGTCTCGCTGCCCAGGCGGGTCTCAAACCCACGGGCTCAGGCAATCCACTCACCTCAGCCTCCCAAGTCCTGGGATTACAGGCTGAGCCACCGAGCCCGGCTCGAAATCAACTTTAAAAGAAAAAGCAGCCGGGCT